CTATTCTGTAGGTTAGTTACAATTTTTATGTGGTTGTGGGAGGAGGTGAATACCGGGTTTACCTATGCTGCCATCTTGACCAGAAGTCAAGAAGTCATTCTTGCCTAATTTTATAGGTGTAGAGGGTGAATTTGGGAATAAATCAGGTACAGTCATAGTGGTTCCTAGTCCCAGTTATCATTCTGTTCCAAATATCACATTCCATTCAGGGGAATCTGATTGGCTCACCTTGGGTCAGGTATGCATCCCTGGGCCAATCAGGTTGAAGGATCATGCCCAATAGCACAGACATGGCAACTGAAGGCCCTTACTTTTGTATAAGAGCTGTTCTCAGAAAGATGGGAATCACTGACAGCTGTTTGGCCACCTAAGGGATAACTATTACAAGCACAAAGTTATATCAGAGTCCTGGCACACACTCAAAAGTGGGTAATTGAAAAGCATTAAATAAGGAGATTAAGTGGGAAGAGTTTACAGAAAGAAATAAGATATGTTACAATGTCTCGGTGCTAATGACAATGGGGAGCTGTTACCACCCGAGACCTGAAGAGAAAAGAAGAAGAAATCGTGGTTTCTGGAATCTGTGGAGAAAGTGCAAGGAAAAGGCTGCCTGAAAAGTAGCTGTGGTCTTTGGGAGAGGGTCAGAAACCATCCTAAGCAAGATGCCAGTAGTGTGGTATCGAGGGAAGTAAATACCAAGATTTTACTCTCCTCCCATCTGCCCATTTCTTGGATACAAGCCAGAGAGCAACAGGTATGTAGAGAAGGGTAGAGAATAGATATGAAGGGGTAAATAGCAGACAGCCAACACAATAATGCAAATTCAGCTTATGGTTGAAGACCCTTAGGTTTGGAAGAGTTAGTGACTGGTTTAGATTTGCAGAGTCAATTCAGAGGAAGGGCTGGGGTTTGAATTCAGTCTAACTCCAGAACCTGTGCTTTTAACAATAGTGCTCTGTTACCTTGAAGATGAAGACCTGAATTCAAACACTGGATTGACATAGCTCAGGTGAAAATGTAATCTTTCTGATCCTCTTGCAACATTACCTCTTAGCTACAGCAGCTGTAGCTAAGCCCACAGTCCAGCCTGCTCAGACTTATACTGATACACTCACACTTACTGGTTTCTTTCCAGTCCCCTTTCTTGCACCTTGCAGAGACATGTGGTTTGGAATAGCAGAGGCAGTCAAAGCGTAGTCCAAGCTTCCTGTCATGATGCAGGCAGCCCCGCTCTCCTGTGGGCAGAATTATGATTGAGATTTGCATTGCACTCCAATTAAGCTTTTCTTCTCTAAGTCCTCAGGGGCACATTCTCAGACTTGTACCATTCACTGTGGGAGCTGATACCATTATCAGCTGCCTGTTCATCTCACATAAATAGGCCCATTAGCACCTCATCTGACTACATGCACTTCCCTGCCACTGCTTAGAGCTCCCAGACGAGCACGTTTCCAATCAGGCATGCAGAAGCGATATCACTAACAGCAGTAATAATCACTGTATGGTTCTGTTTCCTGTCCCATTGTTTTTCAGCTCTTTAATTAATATTAGGTAACAACTATCATACACTTACCAGATGCTAGGCACTGCACTGTTTTTGCATGAATTGTCTCATTTCATCTTGACAATAAACCCAGCAAATTGGTACTACTTAATCCCCACTTTACAGGTGGAGAAGCTGATAGGGGTTAAGTACGGTATCTTAGGTGACATAATTAGTAAGTAGTAGATCAAAGAATTAAGCCCAGGCAGTCTGGCTCCAGAACCCACTTAACTGTGACGCCTCCTTCTGTTTGTGGACGAAAAGGGGCTGCATGCTAAACCTTACAAACTCATATTTCACAAAGGATGGTCTGAACATAAAAATTCCTAACTAATAGTGGGCCATGACTAGTAGTCACATTCTAGGCCTGTAGTTTTGTTGACAAAGGTTGATCTTTACCTTAAGTGAGCCTGTGTATTGTTGTTTTGCATCTAAAATAATGTATCTGTATCCCTGACTGGTGTGGCTCAGTGGGTTGGGCATCGTCCCACAAACTGAAAGATTGCCAGTTCGATTCCTGGTCAAGGAACATGCTTGGGTTGTGGGCCAGGTCCCCAGTGGCAGCGTATGCGAGGCAACGGAACAATGTTTCTCTCCCTTTCTTCCTGCCTCATTTCTCTCTCTAAAAATAAATGAATAAATAAAATCTTAAAAAATAACATAGCTTTAGATGTCAGTGTAATCTCATTTTTCCAGACCCTTCAGGGCACAGCCCATGCACGCACCCGAGCACAAGGCCACATGTTTATCTTGGTCACCATGTACCCTCTCTATGTCCTATAAACATTGATCATTAACTATCCTGTATGCACCAATTAAAAGTATATATCTCTCTGTTTTACTTTTTATCCGATCTCAGAGATTTCCTCGCTTTGCTTTCCCCCATATCAATCTACCATCAATGGATTTCATGTAACCCTCCTTATATCTCCTCTTTTTATTCTAATGCTTAAAATAAACGGCAAAGCTGACATTTTCCAGAGAATTTTCTCAATCCATTGAGAGTTTGCTGCTCAATAATTGTTGCCAGTTAAGCTCAAATAAACTAAAAAATTCTCATAGGTTTGGACATTTTTTCTGACAACATGTTGCACAACTTTGTGAGTATACTAAAGATCACCAAAGTATACATCTTAAGGGTGAATATTATGGTATGCAAATTACATCTCAATTTAAAAATAAAAAAGGAATAGAGGCACAATACATTTTATTTCTTTCTCTAACAGCAAAGCTTTGGCTGTTTTCCATCCAATTGGACAAGTTCATTAAAAGTAGGTCTTAAGATAAGGATTTGGGTGCAAGTAGTTTATCTGGGGATTGGAGGAGTAATAAAGGGAAAGGGAAAGATTTACTAAGGGGTGAATTAAGTGAGCCCCTGCTTTGGGCATTTGGGGCTCAATTTTACTGGAGCCCTTCTATGAGACTATTTATTGAATACCTCAACATTTTTTTCTAGGAAGTGAGGTAGGTAGAGAATTTATATCACTGCTTGAGGGGCATCCTGGGTCACTGGTTCCCCTGCTTCTGGTCTTCTCTGTGTTCATTTTACTGAGTAACATCTCATACCCAGAAAGGACCCTGCTACGACCAAAGAGGTAAGCAGAGGGGTCATTTACAACTTCGGCTACAGGTGCACAACAGCCCGATGTAATAGTCAAACGTCAGGTTTACTCGGAAAGGCAAGGGTCACTGAATTCCAGAAACTTACATTTGCTTCATTTGAGGAGCTCATATATCTAAAAGTGAGTGCTTTGCACAGACTGAGCAGGCATCGCACCCCATCTTTGGATTTACATAAGGCATATACACAGAGGGGCCATCTAAGAAATTATTCTAGCTTTTCAGAACAAACGAACAAAAATAAAGTTGTATGTTTTGTCAGTAGAAATGAAATGGGAAAGACAAAGACCAGAATATTGAGTCCTGAAAAATTAGAAAAGTTGACTGCTTCTAGTTCTCAAATAATCAGAAATGGGGATTTTTCAAAGACTTGGAGTGACAAAGGCCCAATAAAATGTCTCAGTGGATTAAAAGCTGATAAAGGTGTGTTTATTCCTCTGTTCTAGCCAGAAATCACTGTCACATGGCTAAGAAGGTAAAAGAATAAAGCAAATCTGAAAACTCTGTCTTACAAAAGTTGCATCGAATGTGGATATTGGCAAATGAAACGGTCCAGATGCAATAGATCAGGGGCTTCCCAAATGTTTGAAGAAATTGTGTTGTCAAAAAACCACAAGCCTGGGTAAAAGGCACCAGTCTGTTTAGTTTTAAAACAACCTCTGGCGGGAAGTTGCTCAACCCCTAACAAGAGCATTCTCCTCCCCTCCCTCTTTAGATGTGGCCAAGGAGAATACAGGTCGGGTCGAGGGGGAAGCGTGTCAGAGGGTGGGGCCCAGGACCACAGGGAACAATGGATGAGAGCGTTCCTGCCCCAGGATAGGCATCCTTTGTAATATCTGCCCATTGGTGTTCCAGCACTGCCATACCAGGGTGTCTGTAGACCAGTGACTACTGTGGGCCTCTCAGTCTTCCCCCTTCTGAGTGGAGAGTTTGCTCAAGTTATCCTATTCCTGTTCCATCATTGAATATTTGTGCGTTGGCCTGAGTATTAGGCAGACTACTTGCCTTTTTAGTTCTCAGGAAGTCTAAGAGAAGTCACATCAGTTCCTGAAGGATATGCAATGGCATGAAATACAATGACAGATCGGCCTTCAGTGAGGAGCACAAGGTGCTCTGCTTGTGGGAAGAAGGGAACGGAAGATGTTTAATGGCCTGAAGAGTGTGCTGTGGTGGGCACTGTTCTAGTTCACCCAGTAGGCTCACTGTGCGCTCCTCCAAATTCTCCAGCCTAAGGTGTTGGCCGGTAATGTTCCCATCTCACAATGTCTTTCTGAGCTTTCCATATCAAGGTTTTTGAAGCCTTATAAAATGAGTTTGGGTGTTTTCCCTATTCTTCCTGTTCTTCTAAATGTGTTTGTTCAGATCAGTATTACTTATTCCTTACATTTCTGTGAACATATTTGAGGTTGCAGTTTTCTTTGTGAGAAGAGTTTTAATTTCAAACTCAATTTTTTGATACATATAAGACAATTGGTAGTTTCCATTTCTTTTTGTTGAAATTTTTATAAATTATATTCTTAAAAACTTACATATTTTACCTAAGATTTCCAATTCAATGGCATACATGTTGGCATACAAAATGTCAATTTATTTGCTTTAACTTTGTCATATCCTCATTATCCTTTTAATGTCTGTAGGTCTACAGTGCCATTCCATTTTTACAACTGATTTTGGTATTTCTGTTTTCTCTTTCTCTTTTCCAAGATTGGTCTTGCTAGGGTTTTATTAATTATAATAATCTAGTCAAAGAATAAACTTTTGACTTTGTTGATTTTCTCTATTGTATTTTTTTTATTTCACTAATTTCTGTTCTTTATTCCTCTCTTCCACTTTTTGGATCTGCTGATCTTTTTCTAGCTTTTGAGATGGAAACTTAGATCATTGGTTTTCGACCTTTCTGATTTTTAAGAAACAGATTTAATGTATAAGTTGTTTTCTAGGCACTGCTTTAATGGTCACGTATGAGGTAATGAATCCAGATGCATATCAAGTAGTGAAAGATACATGGATAGTGGAGATGCAGGATGGGCCGCGTGAGTCTCTGAGTCACCGGAGGGAAGCCTTGCAGCAGAGCTGCCTCACCTGCACTGGCTTGTGATAGAAGCAACATAAGAAACAACTCTGATGTGTTAAACTGCTGAGTTTTATTTGTTTATTTTGTATATGTTTGCTGTCACCTAGCCTGTCTTGGCTAACGCAAGAGGACTTGTCTTACCTCAGCTCCTGTATTGTTTCACACTGCAGTTTGCCATGATCTCTTTGATTCTCCTAAATATCAGCATCATGAGATCTGTGTTATAAGAGATTTTTACTGAAGATGTGTGTGGGGGGCAGGTTATGGAGGGGTGTTACAGTACAACACGCAATAGGAAACAACTTGAAATCTGATATGCTTTCCCTTGAGTCTCATAGGGAATTTTTCATTGTCTTTGCGATTTGGTCCTGTCCTATTGCCAAGTGTTTGGGTTCCCTTCTCTATTAAGACTCTTCCCTCACAGGTCACATTCTCTCTCCTTTCCATCCCTCCTGTCCCAGAGCACCCAAAATGCTCTGGCTTTGACATAGAGCTTACCCTTACCTTGGATAAAATCACATTCCTAGTCGTGGTGTCTTTTCTACTGACGGCAGCAGTCCCAGGGGTCTGGGGTGGAAAAGGGGTGGTGGGCAGCCTGTTGGAGAATTAGGGCATGCCCTCCAACCTGAGAGGTTTTATTTTCCCCAGAACCTAAAAGATACTAACGTTTTTTTCTACCACTTTTTTTACAGCCAATTTTTATTTTACTTTATTTCATTTGTATTATTTTTCACATAGTTGAAATCCTGCTCTGTATCCTACTTTTATAACATAATGTTCTATCATGATCATTTACTATGTGATCTTGGTAAATGTGCTATTGCATTTATTTATTTTTTCTTGTTAAAAACACAATTATCGATCCTAAAGGGTATGAGAAGGGCATACAACTCCCCTCCCTGAAACCTCGCCCTCTGGACGGAGACCATCTGATAAACTGGGCTGCTCGCTTTTAGCTGCTGACACCTGGACAGAAGGAGGAACACTCAGAAAGTCTGCGCAGTGACTGCTTGGACAGAGCTGTCCCTCAACTGCTGTGACAGAGCCATGGCCCTACTGGGACAGCCTGGTGTCCTGAGAATCACAACTGCCAGCTTCAGATGCGTCTGGGTATGTCTGGAGCAGTTGTGGGGATGAAGGGCAGGCAGCACTTTATTCTCAGAAGGATCTAGAAACCTCTGCAGAAAGGCTCCAGCCTGGGCCTGTTGCTCATGCTGCCCTGGCCCAGCCTCCAAAGGAAGAGCTAAAATAGAAAGTAAACAAAAAAAGGGCTGTTTCTCTGACATTTCTGCGGGCGAATTAGGCCAGCTTTTTTGTGTTCTCTGTAACAGTGACCCCTGGAGGACTGGGATGGGACTGGGGGGTAACCCTGGGAAACAGAGTGGGCACAGCTGGACCACACACACTATGCTTGTCTGAAAAGGAGGGTCAGAGACCTCCACATCAGGCTGCTATAGACCTGGTCATGACTTCAGTGCTCAGCCTGACTGGGCACCAATCACTGGCAAACAAAAGGAAAAGAAGGCGAGAAGGCCAAGGTGGTGACTCTCACCACCAGTGCTATTCCCGGACCCTCAACTGAGAAGGAGGGAGAAGCTGGAGGAGCAGGTGTGCTCAGCCAGGTGCCTGCAGTCATCAGGTGCATGGGAAGGTCTGCAGGCCAGGTTAGAGGCTGGAAAACCCCATGCTGAAGAGTAACTCCTGCAGAAGGACTGCGTGAGATCTTGTGAAGGGTCTGGAGAGAGAAGGCTGGGCCCTGAGGAAGAGGGCCTGCCATGACCCGAAGAGTTGGCCAGGTGACATGAGACATGTAAGGTGACTTGGCATCTGGCTCTACTGGAAGGCTGCCATGTAATCAGTGCTCTTTCACCCTGCCCCTCCAGCGCCAGGCAGGTAACACCCTGATTGACTAGTCCTGAGTATTGCACAGATCCCCATGGTTTCCTACAACCTTCCCACATCTTTGTAGTTCCTCTATTAAATTATCTATTAAATAAATTATCCTAATATGTCCCTCTATTAAATTATCTATCTACTGTTCCTGATAGTCCCTCTATTAAATTATATATTACATCAATTATCCTAATGTGCATGTACCATCTGGTTGCTGCTGGTACCCTACTGATACAGAGGCCATCCTGTTGATGGCGCTGGGGAGGCCCCGAGACTCTGGCACTCAGCAAGCACTTCTGAAGATGAAGGACGGAGACAGAGGTTTAAACGGTGGACTACTGCAGGGAAGGTGTATGAGGAAACCACGAAAGGTAGGGATAGAGATTGTGACCTCGTTAACATACTTCAGAGAGCCCAGGTAGGAGTGAAATTTGGCAATGCACTTAGGCCTGACACATTGAAATAGAGAGCAATTAGATAGATCTGATCTGAAGTAGGGGTGGAGGTGGGAAGGCTCCATAGCCCAGGACCATTGGTACCACTCAGATCTTACTCGACTCACTCTCTGGAGAAGAACTGAAGAGAAGGCCAGACTGGAGGAGGATGAACCTCCACAGTCAGAGCCCGCTGAAGGCGGAGCTGGGTGGCAGGGCTGGTCCCTGGTACCAGAGTACCCACACAGGGTCTGGCAACAGCGGGCCCCTCTATGATTTTGGCAGAAGGAATGAAGGTGCTTATGAGACAGCATGGTGGGCAGGACATTCTTCTCCACTGACTTGCAGAATGTACTCACATGGAAGGAATGTTTGACAGAGACGGAACTGGAAATATCCGGAAAACATGAGGGGTTGAGGAGGGCGGGCATGAGAAATTGTAAAACGGGTTTGCTACAAATTTAATAAGGGCTGGAAAAGGGACAGGATTTGGAAAAATTAATTTAAAAACAGTACTACCCTGGAGCACTTAATCTGGTTTTATTTACCCAGGGCATGTGGTACTTCCCTTAGCGAACATGAGGAATTTGTACACATTGGAAATTGAGTTTTTATTGTGTAAATTTAACGGAATGTGCAGCCAAGAACACATGACAGAAATAAAGTGTGTGTGTGTGTGTGTGTGTGTGTGTGTGTGTGAGATGGTGGGGTGGATGACTCAGACATTGTTCCCCTAAATTCTCTCAGGGCCTTTGCATGTGCTGTTCTCAACATCTGCCAATGTCGACTCTAGCACCTTCTCCCTGTTCATACCTGGAAGGAGGTAAGATTTTCTTGTTATGCTCTGATACAACTCTTGTACTTTCTCTTCACAGCACTATCACCATTAGAAGTCATGTTTTCATGTGGTCATTTGAACGATGCTCCTTAGCTGATAACCTCTATGAAGGCAAGGACTGTGTTCTGACCACCACTGTTGCTCTGGGACCCAGTGCCTGATGCCTGCCAGATGCTTAGGTATCTTATGGGTGGCGGCCTGGAGGCTGTTAACATGTTAGGACTGGCTTCCCAAGTTTAATATGAGGAGGTAAAACACAATCTGTAATTCTGGTAACCTTGGGTCTACATGAAAATCGGCAATTATATTTGGAAAGGAAGGCTATGCCTTGGTGAAGTTGTATGTGAGAGAAGAAGTAACAATGTCATTGGTCAGTGTGGCCAAGGGGAGATGGGTGGAGGTCTGACCCAGTGGCTTCATTAAAAACCATTTGGCCCGCGCCCTCTGCCATTGTTCCTCATTCCTTCCTTCTTTTGTCATTCTGTGTGTGTGTGTGTGTGTGTGTGTGTGGCAAGAACATTTAACACTAGATCTACCCTCTTTACAGGTTTTTAAGACAGAATATTAAACAGCAGATCTCCAGAATTTACTCATTTTTGCATAACCGAAACTTTATGTATATTAATCAGCAACTTCTCATTTTCCCTCTCTGCCCCCAGCCCCTAGCAACCATTCTTCTCTTCTTTGCTTCTTTGGGTTCCAATGTTTTATATAATATGTAAGTGGAATCATGTGGCATTTGTCTCTGTGATTGGCTTATTTCACTTAGCATAATGTCTTTAAGATTCGTCTATTCCTTCTTTAAGGCTGAATAATATTCCACAATTTCCTTATCTATTCATCCATCGACAGACATCTAGGTTGCACCCACACCTTGGCTATTGTGAATAGCCCCACAGTGACATAGGGGTGCTATCTTATTGAGATCCTTATTTCAACTCTTTGGATAAATAAATATCCAGAAGTGAGATTGATGGATCATATGGTAATACAACTCAACAGTAAAAAAACAAACAAACAAACTAATAATCCAATTTAAAAATGGGCTAAAAACTTGGATAGACATTTATCTAAAGAAGATATACAAAAGCCCAACAGGCATATGAAAAGATGTTCAACATCACGAATCATTGGGGAAATGCAGATCAAAACCACAATAAGCTGTCACCTCAAACCCATTAGGATGGTTATCATCAAGAAAACAAAAGACAGCAAGTATTGGCAATGATGTGAAAAAATTAGAACACTGGTAAACTGTTGGTAAGAATGCAAAACAGTGCAGCTGCTAGGAAAAGTTCTATGGAGGGTCCTCAAAAAAAAAACTAGAAGTAGAACTCATATAGTCTTTCCTCTTCTTTGCTCCATAAAATGTGGATGTAGTGGCTAAAGCTCTAGCTGTATGCTCTTCTTAGCAAAGGAAGGGGCACTGATAATCCCCACAAGGATGAGGGCCAAACTCAAAGGATGGTAATGTGGGGGTTGGAAGGAGTATGAGGGTTTGTGAACTGTCCATAATTCCTGGCTCCAGACTATTTAGTGAAAGAAAGAAAGAAAGAAAGACAGGAAGGAAGGAAGGAAAAAAACATTTATTTCACTGCTATTTTGGTTCTCTATTATCCTCAACTAATACATTTGGGAATTACAACTAATACATTTGGGAATACTAAATTATTGGTAAACCACAAGCTTTCATCATGCTTATTTAGAAAGGATAGGAATTTTGCTGTGGGTCACTAGAAATTGGTCTGGTTCAAGTGGGTATTACCTGGAATTCGAGGTAGATATGAAACATACAGATGGGCCAGTGACTGGAGCTTGCCTTTTGGGAACCACTAACAGGTGATAGATACTAGTGACTTCCAATGGATTTCTTTCTTTTTTCTCAATGACTTGTCCTTTGGACAAATCATGAGCTATGGGAATTTTTGCCCACCCTGAGGTGTCTGGGGCTTACCCAGTGATTTCTCCAAGATTTCTGCAGATTCTTGGGTGGATCTTGTAATGTAGAGCGATCTTTGCGTTCTCGTTCCTTCTTATATGTTGATCCTCTTTCTTCCCGTAGCTGCTTTTTGCTTCTTAGGTCTGTCCAAAACAAACATGACACTTCCTTCCTTGTTCCATCAGAGCCCCTCTTAAACCACTTTTCCTGAAGGTTTGGGGATAGTTGGATAGTTGATAAAGAGCCATTTGTCCTGGGCCTGGACAAAGGCTCAGGACACTTATGATGCAAAGAAATAGTGCAGCTATGAAATGACAGTTGTTTCAAAAAGTTATTTTTTGACTCTGTTCTTTCAACAATTTTGCAACTGTAGTAAAACATAAAGAACATAAAGTTGCCTTTGTCATGTGTACGATTTTACATGTACACTTCAGTGGCATTCACTCGGTTGTGCAACCACCACAATTTTTTGATTTTTGATTTCCCAAACCACATTCTTATTCAGAGTCCTCCTCCCTCACCCAGAGGTGTTATTATCCTCAGTGAAATCACAGTGACGCTTATTCTTAAGTAACAGAAATTCAAGAGCTGGAAAAATCCCTATAATCCAATTTAAGCAGCTCTAATTCCTCCAGATCTCCTGGTAGAACCCACAGAGCTGAGGTTGGGCTGGCATCAATGATGCCGTCAAGGACGGATGGTGGCCAGCCTTCTGGAGTCTGATACTCAATCAGGAAACAGATGCTGTGGGACAGGATAGTTACATGTTCTTGCTCTTGGTTTGGTCTTTGACCCCACTGCACACTGAATGATTGGGTGGGCAGTTCTAAATCAGAAATTCGGAAGAAGGCAGCCTGGGATTGGGAAGGCTAGAAGCTGCAGCCGGGGAAGGTCTTAGGAAAGTGCATGGCCTCTGTGTGTGTATGTGTGTGTAGGAGGCAGGCGGGCACACCGCATCCTGGGAGACAGAGGTCACAGCCTCATCTGAGTCTCTCCTCTGCCCACCTCCCTCCCTCCCCTCCCAATAATTCTAGAAGGCTACAATCATGCTAGAATTTCAAATTATATGGTAAGAGAGGAAGGGAGGTGGGAGCAGATGATTTGGGAAGGTCACAATGAGTTAAAGGTGCAAAGCTGTTTGTGGCTATGATTCCCATCTATAGAAGTTCAACTGCAAAGTCCCACCATGTGTATAATGATTAGAGTGATGGTGGAGTTTTAGAGAGTAGAAGACATGAACATGAAAACAAGCTAGTGCTGAACTGGACGACTGCTAGGATGATCTTGCACAGAGTCCTGGAGGGAAGGCAGAGACCACAGGCCAATTCTCAGACTTCAATTTAATTACAGAGACCACATGTGGACCAGTAGACAGGCATGTCCTGGGAAGTGTCAGCCCCTTGACTACTGAGTGAACATTCTGTAGGCACGTGGGGTGGACCCTACACCTCAAATATCCACTCATTGACCCTCCTTCACTCCCATCCACAGAGGAATGACTGAGGGTCTCTAAGCCTGATGTTCCAGTCACTCCAAAGACTCATCACAGGTCCTGAATGTTCTCCCTTTCCCTCTTGTGGACTGGGCACAGTGGCCAGGACACCCCCCCCTTTGGCTTCCTGTCACAACAGCTCCATTTCCAATCCTGGGTGAACGTGCTCTGGGTCTGGAGCCTAGCTCTCATTCACGCTAATTTTCAAAGTACTCAGATTCCACTCTCTTCTTTCTAGAAATCCATTTCAGAAAAACAGAACCAGTAGTTAACTGTAAAGGGACTGTCAGACTCTAGTTTGCTTAGGATTGGCTGACTACACAGGAGTTAAATTTGTGGGGAGGGAATTGAATTCCAAACTGGAGTGAAGAGGCAGGTGTGGAAGGTTGTATTCCCAATGTGCCACAGTCTCCGCAGAGGCCACTATGCCCTTCCATGCCAGAGTCAGGAACGCTGCCCTGGGCACTCTTTCTCCAGCCACCACACGCTCCTGATGTACACATTTTCACCCCATCGTCAGACCATATGCAATGATTTCAGTGCACTCAATTAGTAGAGGCCCCGGTGTACTTTGGTTTGAAAACTGGATGTATTCAATGAGTTTCTGCTAAAGCACTTTCAGAAGCAGAGTCCCTCTCTTAACATCTTCATGAGTGGGGGGGGAGTGAATTTTGGCTTTTGTAGCTGGGGAGATTATAAAAGGAGACAGAGAAATTGGGCATTTAGAGGCTGCCATGCTCCCATTGGAGGTGTGTGTACATTATGGAACAACAGAGGACAGCATTACTGCAGGGAGTGTGGAGCACAGATCCTGAACCTCTCTGGGTTTCCAAAAATGCTTGAATAACTCTAACCCCCCAGTGACATTAGGAGTTGGAGTTCTGTTGGAGGGGTTCATAGCTCTGGTCCTGGTGTTCCAATTGGAATGATTTGAGCATTGGACCAAAAGGAGGGGAGGCAGAGGGGATACAGGGTGTCTGTCCCAGGCAGAAGCATGGGGGAGAGACTGGTCGTGCTGCTGGGGAGTGAAGATAGGTAGGGTGGGGGAGGTGGCTGTGTTGGCAGAAACTAGTTAGGTGATGTTCACATTGAACAGAGGCAATAGGAGGGATGGATTAAATTAGTGGTCTGCTAAGGGGGTGTGTGGGATGATCCCTTTGGATGAGAAAGAGAAATGAAAACTTTCATTTGTATCTATGTTTTAGTGTAAAAATAAAGAAATTAAGATTCACTATATGGCTTGATACAGGTACCCTTACTCCGTCCTTGCGAGTGTTCATGTCATGTGTCATAGTAGAGGTGTCCTCGGGGAAAGAGGGAGTGGCACCCTATTGATCCGGTTGCTTTCAAGTGAATTGAGAGGTATTACAAATTACTTGTACCTCAGGTGGTAGATAGAGTATATTGTCGCAGTAGGGGGGCGGGGGACAGACTTTCCTCTGTCCTCAAGATTCTTCTGGCTGATCTAATAATCAAATACAAGTGAGACAAATTAGCAAGAGAAAATAACCAATTTAATACATGCATATGTATGGCACACCACATACATGAGAG